GGGGGTGGTGGACAACGAGCGATATCGAAGACAGTCTTCTTCACCTTTTAACGCTGCAGCCTGTGTTGCCCCCTCTCCCCCTTCGCTCCTGGATCCGCCTATGTGCTTTGTGAAAATATAATTATTCGCGTTTACAAGGAACAGTCCTAATCCGGTAATGTAGCAGAACGTTAGCAGCGAAATTTTGCTTTCCGGCAAGTTCAAACAACAGCGATAGAAGCTGAAGCTTAAATTCAGACTGCGAAGCTCAAAATCCTTGCGAATATTCGGTTACTAATTGAAACAGATATGAGTTCTTCCACGCCTGTGCCGTACGTCTGCAACTTAAATATGAGCAAAAACTAAAGATTGAAAGTCTTGATTTTTCCAAATTTTGAAGGAACTGTCATTTCTAATTCCAGTTTGTACGAAACACAAAGTGTTGGTGGATCTGCTCATTATGGTCAGCCCGCAGTCCCAACAGCAGTTTCGGAATATGGTACTACTGATTATTACGAGCCAAAGATAGCAGAGCAAATTCCAACACGAAGTCGTGGATCTTTGCTTGTGCGCTTTTTCGTTTTTCAAAAATTTGCAAAAAATTTTAAAAAACACCTTTTCTCGAATAACGTGGAAAATCTAATAAGTATTTTGTTCCAGCTGTTGAATTTGTGTTGCCCTGAAACTGAAGCATTGCTTACGTTAGTCCCCTTTAAGCTCGTAAAATGTATAGCTAATAATACAAAATCTCATAGATTGCTTGTAATGGGCATGAAAATCTCAAATTTTCTAGAAGATCGAGCAAATTTTTTTTAGGGGAATCGTTATATTTATTTATACTAGCCCTGTCATTGGTTGATGTTATCTGTAAAAGTTTCAGCATTATGTGGGTAGCCCTATCGTTGTTCATGAGGAATAAATGCGGAGAAGTAAATTAGAAAGAATAAAATTTAGTTGAAGGGAAGAGGGAGGAAAAGAAGAAATGAGGAAAGCAGGAGGTGAAGGTGTTGATTTAAAAATTTTCTTGAAATTGGCTTTAACTCATTCATTATGCGTTTTTGCCTATATGCAAATTGCAAAAACGCATATTGGGACGACCCTGTCTGTGCGTGTGATGTGTGTGTGTATGCTTGTGTGTGCGTATGTGTGTTCGTCTGTCCGGGTATTTCAACTCGGCAACCACATGTATGTATGTGTGTGTATGTTTGTGTGTGTGTGTGTGTGTGTGTTCGTCTGTCCGGATATTTCAACTCGGCAACCAAGCGAGTTTCAGCGCCGAGATTTTGCTATTGGGTGCCCCGGCCAAGCCCAGAACCGCGGTACCATCCCCCACACACGTCTGGGCCCCGCGTACGAGAGGTTGAAAGTTTTAGCGGGAAAATTCGTAACTCGGGAACGGGAAAAGATAGAAGGCTGAAGCTTTGGGAATATGTGCCCATACCATGTGCGACCCTCCCCTTTTAATATCATCCCCTGCGGACGCCTGGGCGCCGTGTACGGGCGCCTTAAAAAATATGCAAATTTTTTGGCGGGAGGGCGATCTCGGGAACCACACGAGCTAAGGGGCTGAAATTTTGTGGGGATATTCCCTACGCATGTATTTGCTAAAGGTTTCAAATTCAGCCCCCAGCTATGCGTGATACCCACGTAAGAGCATATGAAAGTTTTGGAGGGAAAATTGCTAACTCGACAACCGGGGAAGCTGGAAGGCTGAAACTTTCAGGGAATATTCCCTGTCCAGGTACAGCTTAAATATTTCAGACCCAACCCTCAGGTATGCTTGGTACTCACGTAAGGGCGTATGAAAGTTTTAGGGGGAAAATTACTAATTCGGATACCAGAAAAGCTGGGAGGCTAAAACATTCTGACATAAACCTATCAAACTCAATCCCCAGTCATGCGTTGTTCTCATGTACGGCCCTGTGAAACTTTTTTGGCGGGTAAATGACTAACTCGAGAACCAGAAAAGTTGGGAGGCTCAGATTTTGGAGAATATCCCCCGTTCAAATAAGACTTAAATCTTCAAATTCAGCCTTCATTTACGCGTGATTCTCGTGTAAGGGCAATTAAATTTCTGGCGGAAAAATTACTCGTTGAACAGTTGGGTTATTTTCAAAAAATATCGCCAAACGGAAATAGTTTATTTCTTTTTATGCTAAATTTACGATTATTTTCGACATTATGCACATAAGGTAGGTGTGAAGGGACAACAGTTGACCTAATTCAAGTATTGTGCAAAAACGCATGATCGCACCGGCTGGCCTGGTGCGTTTCAGCCTGGGTTTTTAATTGATCAGTTAATCATCTTAACCATTCTTATTTCTAGAATGTATTGGCTCGAAATTTCAAAACTATCGAAAAGACGACACTTTATTTGGCATTCTTCATCAACGTTATCCTGCTCTTTCACCGAGTACAAATTATGCACCAAGAAGCACCAAGTTCGTTTAAATTTTCCAGAAACAGCAGGTTATATTTGCATTAAAATCGAAGCAATCGGGGAATGGTACCTAAGTTATTTTCCAATTTTTTCTTATCTCTTGTGGTCTAGTATGCTCTACAAGCACCATCTAGAAAATTAACTCGAAATAACGGATTTTCGCCAAACACTAACAGCAAGGATAATTTTTTTATGAGCAATTTGGTCCAGAACAAACGTGAGGATCACCAGCAAGTTGATGGCGTGGCGATGCAGCGTTGAACAAAGCAACTAGAAAATCTAATAGCTGCCTAACAGGGGAAGTATTTGATGAGCTGCAACTGTTTCAAGTATCCAGCAAAGTAATCTCTTCCTACAATCGAAGGGCTACACTTTTACAGGTAAAAGTAAAGCAGAGGATGATGAATCGGATGATGTGGAGTTGGTATTCATTACCGGTGTGGTGATACCATATACTTCATACGAAGTGACCGGTTGGATGCTGGCGCAGGTTATTTTAATTTTTTATAAATATTTTAAGTAGCTTTGAGAGGGAGGTTTATCGATAATTTATTGTTCAAATTATTTTAATTTGTTTTTAGGTAAAAGTTTTCTCGAGTTCGAGCTAAGAATTTACGAAACTGATTTCTTATTTATTTCGTCTTTAGCGGAAAACCACTTTTGCGAATTTGAATTAAAAATTAAAAAAAGGAGAATTGGAATTTTTTTCAGCTCTTGTACTGGTTGAGTGTTTTGCATGCGATCGCGTCATTTGCCCTCTTGGTATCGTTTTATCAACTGAAGGTATGTATTGTTAAATTTCAATAATAGGTTCCGCTTTTTCTTGGGCAAATGTTATACCTTCCTGTACTATTGTGCAATGGTAAAAGTCGTTATTGTCAGGAGAGAAAATTCAAAAAATTAGGCCAAAAGTCGCAATATTTGACCAGAATAACGACGCTGCCACGTTGGAGATATAAAAGTTGGCCAAAAAGGCATTAAAGTCTACTCAAAAATACATAATTTATAAAAAGCTTGTGAATAATTGGGATTTACCAAATTCGACACTTTGATAGAGAAAGTGAAAGAACTGAGATATACTGTTTTGCGAATGTTATAATTAAATTTCTGTTTGGTTTCGAGGGTAAATTGGTGTAAGGTATGGTTGGAAATTAAAGTGTTTCCTAAATTTTCCTCCTTATGAAAGGGGCTCGTCGACTGCTTTATCAGTATAAGCTGTTTTTTTGATAAAGACATTTTAACTTATTTTCAATGGAAACGTGTAATAAGATGTGAAAAAGTTGAAGTTGCTCGTTTCTTCTAAGTTTAGATTTTATTATTATAAATGTTTTTTGTAGTTCAGCAAAAAATGCGAAAAATCGAAAACTTACAACAAAAAAATGCATAAAATGCTCATGATTTTTAATCCTAATGTATGTAATGGCCTGAAAATTAAAGCTTTTTTTGTGCGGTGAAGTGTTGTTGAATTTTCCAGATCCCACTGATAACATTTAAACGCGAGAAAGAAGTGGCGCGTCGTTTGATGTTTGACGGGTGTTGGCTTACCGAAGAAGATGATGAGGAACGAACTTTAATTAACACTGTCTTCTGGTAAGATAATTTCACAATAATCATTTCAAAGAAATATAAATTGTAAGAAAAAGAAATATAAATTGTAGTAAAATGGTCAGATCTTCCCTCCTCCTCCTCGTCCCCCCCCCCTTACCCCGTCCCTCGTTATCCCGTATTTTCTCTGTATAAAATAAAAGCGGAAGGTGTTTGGGATGTAATATGGAGGGTAGTAAATGCCAATGGCAACTAGTCGATAGCTTTCTCTTTCAAGGATTGCTTACAGTCAAGCTGGTAGCCGGGACTGTTCCTTTTTATGCGTTTTTTGCAGTAATGCAATGCAAAAAACGCATATTGACGAGAGGTTGTCTGT